GGTGGACCAGAATCGCCTCGAAGCCGTGCGGAAGTCATTCTCCATGGCCTCTCCGAACTCCTCCCATGCCCGAGTTTTTGTCTCAGCGACCACCCGAGCCACATGTCGCTTAGACTACCGGTACCCATCAGCTGCTTTCGGGCTCCCACAGGCCAAAAAGGCTCGATAGAACTCCTTCTTCAGCCTGACAGCATCCCTCACCGACGGTGTCCACCGACGGTGTCCACCGACGGTCTCCACCGACGGTCTCCACCGACGGTGTCCACCGACGGTGTCCACCATCGGGTTCGAGGGTTGCCGCCACGACAGGCACCGACAACCTTGCGGCCGCAGCTCCGGTAAGCCACCTCGACAACAGAGGCACGTAACATGGTCCACTCAGACTCAATGTCCCCCACCTCCGTTGGAACATGTTCTCCCGGAGGTGGGAGTTAAAACTCCGTCTCACAGGCGACTCTGCCAGATGTTCCCAGCAAACCCTTACAATACGTTTGGGTCTGCCAGGTCTGACCGGCATCCTCCTCCGCCATCGGAGCCAACTCACCACCAGGTAGTGATCAGTGGACAGCGCTGCCCCTCTCTTCATCCGAGCGCTGCCCCTCTCTTCATCCGAGTGTCCAAGACATGTGGCCACAGATCAGATGAGACGATGACAAATTTGATCATCAAACCGCAGCCTAGGGTGTCCTGGTGCCAAGAGCACATATGGACACACTTATGCTTGAACAAGGTGTTCGTTATTGACAATCCATGACGAGCACAGAAGTCCAAACACAGACCACCACTCTGGTTCAGATCAGGGGGGCCGTTCCTCCCAACCACACCCCTCCAGGTCTCACTGTCATTGCCCACATGAGCATTGAAGTCCCCCAGCAGAACAAGGGAGTACCCAGGAGGTGCACTTTCCAGTACCCCCTCCAAGGACTCCAAAAAGGGTGGATAATCTGAACTGCTGTTTGGTGCATAAGCACAAACGACAGTCAGAACCCGTCCCCCCACACGTAGGTGGAGGGAGGCCACCCTTTCATTCACCGGGGTGAACCCCAACACACAGGCACCAAGTTGGGGGGCAATAAGTATGCCCACTCCTGCTCGGCGCCTCTCACCAGGGGCAACTCCAGAGTGGAAGAGTGTCCAGCCCCTCTCAAGGAAACTGGTTCCAGAGCCAGAGCCATGCGTAGAGGTGTCTGACTATTTCTAGCCGGAACCTCTCAGCCTCACACACCAGCTCAGGCTCCTTCCCCACCAGTGAGGTGACATTCCACGTCCCAAAAGCCAGCTTCTGTAGCCGAGAATCAGACCGCCAGGGTCCCCGCCCTCGGCCACCACCCATCCCACAAACTGCAATACATCAAATAATATTTAAAACTTAGGTTTTCAACAGGCAATAAAAAACTTTAGAAAAAGGAGGTGTGTCACCTCTCACGGTCTTTAACCAGGGGTGGGCAGCTGTTTTCCTCATAGGACATCATCTGGAACTGGGCGTGTTGTGGAAGGATAACATTAAAACTGAGCTTCAGCTGCAGATGAGCAATAAAACTAGGAGTATGACTAAAAACTAACTCCATACATTTAATGGAATTAAAGATGCACTTAAACTTTAAAGGCCTCTCAGACACCAGCATCAAATCAACAGAAAAGTGTTGTACTCTTGTTTGTGCAGTGAAACAAACCCTACCTGAGCACTGGATTACAGGGTGTCCCTGTAATCCAGTGTCCCACAGATAACATTCAAGCTCTCGAGTCATAAACATGGAAACAACGTTCAGTTAGTTGGTTTTAATACTTCACTCTTATACATTTTTTAAATCACTTTGAAAATAAAACCTGAGCTCAATGAGTAAAAACGATAAGAATGCAAACACCATAAAAAAGCCAATACCAAAATTAAAAAAAAAATCCTAAACTTAATCTGTTCTTTTCAACATAAAGTGAAGAAAAGACAAAGAAACAGATAGATGGAAGGAAGAAGGGTCCTGAAACATGGACCAGACCTCAGCAGGAGTCCACCAACCAACTGTCCCAGAATGGAGACGCCAACAGCTGCGTGAAGACTCAAAAGACACTCTGGCCTTCATCAACACCATCATCGTCATCATCATCATCTTCCTCCTCCTCAGTCAGTCGTCTGGTTCAGTAACACACTGCTCCACGATCTCCCTCAGGTTAGGGTTCTCCATGGCAGCCGCTACACGCTCCTTATCATTAATCTGTTTATTAACTGGAAACGTAAAAAACAACAATCATTAATCTGTTTATTAACTGGAGATGTAAACAACAACAATCATTAATATGTTTATTAACTGGAGACATAAAGAACAACAATCATTCATCTGTTTCTTAACAGCAGCCGTAAACAACAATGATCATTCATCTGTTTATTAACTGGAGATGTAAACAACAATAATCAGTCATCTGTTTATTAACTTGAGACATAAACAACAACAACAACCATTCATCTGTTTATTAACTGGAGACATAAACAACAACAACAACCATTCATCTGTTTATTAACTGGAGACATAAACAACAACAACAATCAGTCATCTGTTTATTAACTGGAGACATAAACAACAACAACAACAACCATTCATCTGTTTATTAACTGGAGACATAAACAACAACAACAATGAGTCATCTGTTTATTAACTGGAGATGTAAACAACAACAATCATTCATCTGTTTATTAACTGGAGACGTAAACAACAACAATCATTCATCTGTTTATTAACTGGAGA